AAGACCAAGGTGCATTTATATTTTATACTTGTTTTATAACAAGGCTTGAAAGATTCTACTGATGACAAACAAGACAACATGATCAGTCAGCTTGAGCAACGCTAAAACAGAGAATATCAATGTGTAGAAAGCAGCCCTGGAAGCATCAGGATAGTGCAAAGATGGCTTGGGCAAAATGTGCAACTTTTGTGGCTAGACACAAATCATCTGATTACATTTTTCCATAGAGAAAGTGGAAAATTTAAGTGTTAATGAACTTACTTGAGAAGTAATAGCTATTAAAGACAAGAGGGGGAACGATATTTCATTCAGCACCATGAAACAGAGAACAGGTGAGATGAAGCAGAGAGGAAGATTGAGACAATAACAAACACACAGAGAAAAATTCAGTTATGTTTGAAAACACTTGAGAAATTCAAAGCCTCAGCTAGAGAAACTGATGTACAAGAGATGAAAAGGAGTCCTGAAAAACTATTAAAATTAATGCCAGTTACAGCATAATAACTAACCCAAGGGGTAGACAATGCAGTTTAATCCCATACAGACAAATTGTGACTAAATTTATTCTGCATTTAAGATTGAGCCTGACCCTCTTAGCCTATGTTGGCATCATTTTTGAGCTAAACTCACCAGAGCAGTGAGTGGTGACTGACAGAGCCCCTGCTGTCACACTGCAGTGCTGCCTGCACCGACTGCCCCTGTTTGACATTCCCAGGCTGGCACCACGGGGTGCTCGTGGCTCTGCTCTCTGGATGCCTCCTGACACCTGCAGAATCACTTCAGGGAGCTGCAGCAGGCAGCTGGCTGCACTGCTGGACAGCTGAAACCAAAAAAAAACATGGGGCTTTTTGTTCTTTGGGGTTTTCCCCTCCATTAAGGCAGTTTTAAAATCAAGAAAACCTTTATTTTTAAATATTTGCCTATTTATCTATGGGGAAAGAAAGTTTAAAGACAGCCTGCTTTCTGGCATTGCAGATGTGTAGAGATGTGCCCACCCTTGTCAAAGTATTTTGAGGGGCAGAGGTGGTTCTGCAGATCTCCACAGAAAGCTCCCAGAGATTGTGCTGTGGGCTGCCAAGAGAAAACAATCAGGAGAAGAAGATGCTAGCTTGAGTGGATTGCATTTTTACTCTTCCCTCATGTCTGGGCCAAGTAGGAGCAGACAGGTTATACGCTGACGAGGTCCTTTTTAGTGATTATGTGCCTTTTTCTTCCTCTCTTTTTCAGGCTCACACCATGATGTGTTGCACAAGGCTGGAGAAGTGTTCGGACTGCACTGTGTATTAATGACCCAAAAAGTCCAGACACAGGCACACCTTGCCTTAATGGCATCAGAAGACACTTCAATGTCCTACATGAGAGCTGATAAATCTACCTATAGGCAAAGGAAGCCCATAACGGGCACAGCACCACCAATTACACAGCAAGCTTGGCTTTCTCACCCATACAGTTTCCAATGCCAAGCTCAGCTGCAGAAGAAGATGTGGGCTGGCTCTCTGTCTATGTTAAAGGCAGGCCTTGGGGGTACTTGTGCTTGCAGCTATCCAAAGATGTCTTTTCTCCTTCACAAAGACTATGTTTTTTTTTCATCTAGCTGCCAACCCTAGGCATCCTGAAAGAACAGTATTTTCAACAGGCATTCAAAGAGAAGAGATGCCTGAGTAGTCAAGAAATGCCTCAGCTGCTGAGTGCAGTAGGCAAGTTTTACTTTTGCCATAAAAAACCTTGGGAGGAAGAAAAAGTCACATAAGCTGTGAGACTTTTGAGTAAAACAAAAGACTGAATTGAAACTGTTAGGTGATTTGATAGGCAGTGTCTCAGGTCCCCTGGCTGCCATCTGGCTGAGCACTGGATGAATCAATAAGATTTGTTTTGCTGATAAAGGCAGGAGAATTTGGATCAAATTCATTATTGAGGATATCGCTTACTATTGATTCAACAATGATAATTTTGTTGGTCCTAAACTATAGAGATAAGAAAAAGAGATTAAAAGACCCAGCAAGAGTAACAGGATGATTAGGATGACTGCCATGGGGCTGAAGGGTAAAGGCAATTGTGAGAAATTCTATGATGGTAGTAAGATACTTCAGGTTTCTTCAATGCAGACACCAAAACATTTGTGGCACCATGTACAGCATTTAGAAAACCTTTACTCAGGGCAGAGAGCTGAGACCTGCATTGGTCAGAAGAGATGGAACTGGCAAATGTGCATGGATGTACTGTCAGGATGCCCAAGAATATGGGCAGTCAAACTGAAGAAGAACAGCAAACAAAGAGGAAGAGCTATACATTGTACCCAGATAATAAGCAGCACAATAAAAAGAGGTTTTGAGCCAGCTCAGAAATAAAGTTCACATAGAGCTTTCTAGAGGATTGAAGCATGCCAAGAGTGTGTGTGGTTATGAAATGATGACTGATAAGCAGGTAAAAGGATAGCAAAACTAATCCAGACACTTCCTGGTGATAAAACGATTGAACTTTGTCACTGAAACTTGTAGGTGTCTTCAGAGTCAGACATTAAAAGGAGATTAAAAGTATTCTTTGCCAGGGCAATGTGTGCATTGTAATTACTGGTTTACATTCCCAGATCCTCAAGCACTATTAACCCCAGTGTTCCTTGGGGCATGACACTTTCAGATGCTTCCTTTCTGCATCCTATTCAAAACTGAACTGACTCACTGGACAGTCTGATCTGAGAGAAGGAATTCTTCCTTGTCTCCCTGGTCATTTGACTCACTAGTGAGAATTTTTGGTTTTCTCTCTTCTGTACCTTTTCTTGGATCATTAGAGAGGAAGTTTAACAAAACCTGGATTGGTGCAGGGCCGATCCAGGCAGCTCTTCCAGTGCACTGTCTATATGGATCACTACACATTATATCACAGGAGCATGCACTGGAGAGTTTTGGGGAGCCTTTCCAACTCCTGCTGCAACTGGACTGTGGAGCAGGTGTTTTCTAGGCTGAGCCAGGGAAGGTGTAAATAGCTTGATGTTGTGTTGTACATTTTCTAGTAAAAAGAACAACCTGTCTGTCATTAGGTAAGTACTAGAAGCCAAATTATCCAACCCACTGACTACGTTTTACAGAGTAAATCTGCATTATGGCCAACAGGATGTAGAAACACCAGGCTTTGCTTGCCTTTGTAAAGCAGTCAGCCAACAGCTGTTAAAGTCTAATTACACTGTTCAGATGACAAGAGTGTTATTTCTGCAGAATCATTCAAAAAACTGCCCCTTAAAAGTGTAATAGTACAGTCCCAGGAAATTCCCCCAGTAAAATGCACTGGTTATGGTTACCAAAGCCTGGCAAGAGCTTTTGATGATAGCTGCCCAACCACAGGCAGTGTTACAAGGTTATGTTCCTCTAGATTAGAAACTCCTGGGAAAGCAAAAAAAGCTGTCTTGGCTCTATACTAGTTATCACTGCCTTCCCCTCTTTCTTATGGAACTCGAGCAGTTTACCAACGTTTCTTCTCAGATTTCAGTTTTGACCATCTTTAGTCATGTGAGACTTTTTTTTTTAAATTTAAAACTGTCAGGTGCACTTAAAAGCACTTATTCATTCTCTTACCTTCAGGTACTTCAGCTTACAAAGCAAAGTGTACAGGCAGTCACCTCAAGGACTGTTTTCTCTTTGAACTGTCTTGTACTGACTTTCCAAAGCATGTGCATGTCCCAAGAGCTCATCACCCCACATAATTTAATAATTTCTAGTAAGAAGCTCTTCTTTCTGCTCCCTGAAATGCCATGAATTATGCAAATCTGACCGGAATAAGATAGATTTTTCATATAATCTTACTGATTCTTCCACACCCATCTAAATATCTCCATTATTTAAAACATAACTTCATTTTCACTTGTTTTTATCATCTACTAGAATTCTATGTAAGCTCAAGAATCAGAAACTGGGATTTTTTTTTCAACAAAACTGAGCTAATTACACAACCTTGCTGTAAGAGTGCTAGTGGAGCATCAGCCCATTGTACTCCCATAATGAGCCCCACTTTGGCTTTGATCAGTATCCTGTGTCCTTTAATATCATGTTCACATGCACCAGTCAACATAATTCACTTTCTCTTTTCATCCTTATTTGTTGTTTCACATAGACCAGAATGTGCAATGTATTAAATCAGTGATTGCTTTGTCTCCTTTTAGACTCAAAAGTGTCCCCACCTGATTGCCAGGTGCACTGAGTTACCAAGGACAAATCTATAGTTTTACTAATAAAGAGCCTTCATTTAAAAAGGCATCTTGACATTACCTGGGTTTGGGGTGGGCACAGACAATAATGTGCCTTTTATGTGTTCTGAGATCATTTGCAACAAAATTAGAGAAGTTGTTGAATAATGCCCCCGATGCATTGAAGGTGTGGAGTTACTGTGATGCTTATGCAATTTAAAATTTAGGTGTAGGCGCTAGGAAGGGAGAAAAGCAGCTTCCAGCCCTTGTCCCTTCAAAGGGCTTAGTTGCTCATTAGGAATAACCATGGCAACAGTTACCATGCCCCATTAATCCATCACACAAGGGCCAGCACCAGCTGCTTCAAGTTAAGGCAGGAGAGGACCCTGCAAGACTCTGTATTCCCCTCACTGGAAATCCTTCTTTCTTCATCCAAAATCTGTCCAATGCACACCAAATTGGTGAACTATCAGTATTTCAGAGCATTGCATTCCCCAAGTTCCCCATGTCCCGTAAACATGAAAACCCATGTTACCATTAAGAAAATTAATATGGTCAAATGCACTAAATACATTTTCTCATCTGCTCCTATTCACCATTTGTTAATGTTTGTATATTTTTGTACAGGGTTCATTACTGTTTATACCACAGAAGTGCTTTTTTTTCTTTTCTATTACACTGAACATGTAAAATCTCAGTGCGAATTAGAAAATCGTCATTTCTAGGAGTCTCTAGTATTTTACACAGAGAGGGAATGAAATCTGAAGCTACTGAACTGTCCTTAAGCTGTGTGTATTGGGAACAGAATGATACAAACTCCAACTTACTTAAAACAAGATTTATTGGCACAAACATACATGTTACAAATGTCTACGATACTCTTGGAAAATATGTTCACCACTTCAAAAAAATCACTGTTTACAGAAAAAGTACAGTAATATCAAACTTTGTAAGTCATCACAATTTCAGCATCAAAATACATGCATTATCATTTATAAATGAAAATCCACTGACCTCCAGGTAAAGCACTTTAAGAAATGTCCTGGTCTCCACCACATTATTTTTTCCTCTCCAGATAGTTCCAATAAGGTGCAAATGGGTTGTTTTCTGTAGAGGCACGAATCACAGCTCCTTGCCCAGTACAGCTGAGTCTATGAGGTGAGAGATGCTGTTCTCAGCACAGACTTTCAGCTCCTTTCTGAGTGTCTTACTACAGAGCTTAACACCACTGTGTGGCCTTTAAAAGAATGCAACTAGAGATTTGGTCTGGAGTTTGGGCTTTTAGAAGGGCAACTGAAAACTTATTTCTGGTTGTTCCCGTTACAGGAAGTAAAGCTTGATGAATCACTAGGAAAGAGGTAGAAGAAAGGTTTTTATTTTGCAGTGCCATTCCATCAGCATTTGAAACAGGTGGCATTGCCAAGGATACTTGTGAGGAGAAAGAGCAACCTCAGTAAATCCTCTTCTTTCTTTGGTGTCAGTCTAGTAACTCAGCAGCCACTCAAGATTTTGTCCCTGACCTCAGACAGCACGGAACAAGACTTCAGCAGATGTCCTGACTCTGATTCTATGCCTACTCAGTGTCAGAGAAGCAGGCTTCACACACACACACAGGGGAGAGAATGCACCGATGTCCTCAGCACGATCACACCTGCCTTAGTCCAATGGCAACAAGAAAGAAAGAAAATTTCTTGATGTCAGTGGAAGTTCTTTGAAAAAAGGGGTGTTGCACTTAATTCCACTAGATCTGAATTTGATTCCGATCAGATCAGTGCACAACAGAACAAAAAGGCAAAACCATAAACCACATGCACTTATAAAGGTGTTTCCTGCACTTTTATCAGTCTCAGTAGAACATACCCAATGATGGAATTTGTTGTGGAGCCATGGGCCTTGGAGATTTTCAAATCTCACTGAGACAAAACCCATGCAACCTGTCCCAGCCTCAAAGGCAGCCTTGCCTCGAGCAGGACATTTTTTGTTATCATTCAAAGGAAAGGCTTTTCCTCTTCTGAACTAGAACATGGCACAGATTCCATGCCAGGCCTGGGTTTAGCAAGGACAAATGAGGGGTTTTGTTGTTAAACAGAAAATAGACATTGACTGTATGCTTAGGCACATGTTGAAGCCACTTCCAGTCCTGGGCATGCCTTGCTCCTCACTCCAGGCTGGTGAGTTTGAGACACTGCAGTGCTGACTGATTACACAAACACCTCCAGAGGCTGCTCTTCTCTTCTTTGCTAACACTCAAGCATTAAGTCATTAAGGAAAATACTAATTAGCTGGCTATGAACTCATTTCCTGCAATGAGCATAACAAGCTTATAATAAGAGTTCATATATTGCCACTTAGAGGACTTTTTATGCTGCAAAGCAAACTAAGGTTGCTCACAGTAGACAGTGGCTGTTTCATCTCTTTCTTATTTGGAAGGAGAACATCTCACACAAATGGCAAATGCCTGTCTACATATATAAGCACTTTCTTTGGAAAGGGGAAGGAAAAAAGAATAGAAGTCATCAAATAAAATTTTAACCTCTACACAGTTGGTGCATCCCCCTCAGAATGTATTTTTGCAACAGACAAAGCATGTTTTTAAGTCCTGCTCTTGAGTAGGAGGTGCTAATTTCTAATCTTTCAGTGATGCTGATAAACCTCATGTGAGTAATATTTTACCATGTTTGTGGTTGGGGGAGGGAGGATGTTTCATTTACAAAAATAATGATGTTTTTCATGACAAGTAGTGAGCTATCTGTAACATTTTATTGTGCAGACCTGTGAGTGTGTCATAGCAATATTAGCATTTTATTGTCTGGGGAAAAAAGTAGATGGAACACAGACTGAAGTTAGGTTTTCTAATGAGAAAAAATATATATTCTTTCATCTATAGTTAAGCTTTGGAAACTGATTATTTGAGTAGTTTTATAGCTGCTAATTGCTTAAATAATACATAAATAAGTAATGGTTAAACTTTATACTGATAGTCTTTACCATACATTTCTACTTTTAATCAGAATATTTTTTCCCTTTGGGTTGCATTAAAGACTGAACTTACATTATTTAGTAGCTTGCTAGTGGCATGTAGTCATTCCAATCACTGAATTTTCAGTTCCAGCTAAGATTACTTTCATTAATAAAGAAATTTTAGCAAACTTTCAGATCAATACTATAAATATTAATAGCTAAACTTCTGAAAAAAAAATGTATTGTGCATTTGTAGATCCATTATATGCACTATCTCAATCCTTGATCTTACAAAGAAAATAATTGCAGCTGCCATTATATTTTACTGTAAACCTGCAATGTATCAGGGGTAGAAACTGATTTAATTCTTTTAAACCTTTCCTCACAAAAAGCTCAGACCACCACTATGTATTCACATATACATGACAGGAAGGTAATGGATTCAACAAAGGGTTTTTTTATCCTCCCCTTAGACCATTTACAGGTGGACAAGCACAGGAACTGTAAAGGATCAAGAGTAACCAAAATAATCACACTGTGTCAAAAAGATTCCATTACTGAGCCCAAACTGCTCTAGGACAAAGTGGACATTCAGGCTGGATCTTTACTGCCCCAAGCATTCTGAAATCCTAATTTGACTGAAGTCCTTGGCCACTGCTGCAGCTGCCAGCAGCCCCATTATCTGGGGCTAGAACACCCCAAAAGGTGCTCTCTGCAAAGAATGCTGCACCATCCTTCCTGCATCTCTCTCCTGCATTGTCCAGGAAAAACACTACCATCTGTCATAGTTCATTGTAAGTATTTTAATTTGATAGAAAAGCACTGCTTAATTTTAATATAGAAAGGGTTCTCTTAGGTAGGGCCACTTAAAAAAGGGATTTTACTGAATGTTAGCAATATTTCACTTGCACCATTTCCCAATTTACAATATTGTGACTACCACAACATCCTTATTTACTGTTTCCTCTATTTTCAACAAAATTAATGAAATTACTGTTATAAGAACTGTTAAATAAATTCGATTAAAATTCCAGTGTTACAATTTAAGGTAGTATAGCAAAAATGCTGTTGTTTAGTCTTATTTGTATCCCATAATTTTGAAGCAAATGGAGACCCAGGAGCCACATTCTGCTGAGCAGAGAGGGGAGGTTTGAGGAGAGCTGGGTGTTGTGGGAGGAGGTTCAGCTTCAGCCAAGCCCCACCTGAGCTCGGGCTGAGAGCAGCAGTGACAGCACGGCACAAGGCAGGGAGTCAGCCCAGAGGGCAGAACAGCCCCAAAATTCTGTGCTACAAATACACTACACTCCAAAACCACAATGGCTTTCTAAGAGAACAGAAAGAAACTTGAAGAATAATGGATAAACCAGACACTGTGAGAAGAGCTAAAGAATGGAGAAGGTTTTTTCGTAATTGTCTTTGTTGTTCTCTATGAGATTTTCTCTTTGAGAACAAGTACTTTGCCCTTTTAAACTTCTAGTACGTGGCTTCTTTGGTTGAATAGAGCGTTACGTGCAAACCACGAGGCTGTATTCACGTTTTGAAGAGGTGCAGGTTCTGGGTTTTGCTTTGGAGAGTTAGCAGGTGTGATACACTCATGACAGAATGAGGTTACTGCAGGAGTGACTCATTGTTGAATAATCAAGTGTTTACTCCACCAAAACTGCATGTAACCAGACTGCCACCGTTTTTATGCTTTATTCTAAGATGTAGCTTTTAAATGTCAGTGCATCAGGAAGGAAGGCAAACTCCTTGGGTGGCTCAGATCTCTTTATGCATGTGTTTAAAGGCAGAGAGCCTTAGGGTTCTCAATGGAGAAGAAAAACTCCTGAGCACATCAATTGAGACACACATTAATCCACTGAGGAAGAGAAATTAACTTAAGAGGAAAACAAAATCCTTTCCCGAAGTATTTCTGAAGTAGACCAGATGGAGAAAGAACAACTGGTGTGAGGTTCTGGTTTGGTTGTTTCATATATCCCAATCTAGTATCTCTCCTGACAATAATGTTACCACTTGAGAAATCTTCAGCCAGTAATTTCTTTAGCTACAATTCATTTTTTTCAAACTACTTTCTTCAGCCTTTTGAATTTGCTTTTAAAGAAGCTAATTTGAGGATGCTTGTGCTTTCTCTGGCTCAAATGTATCTTGTCCAGCAACAGGGTCCTGAATCAGGTGAGGAAGAACTGGCTGGAAGAGCATCTGAGTCTTCTGACGAGATACAGGGCCCAAAGTTATGATCTGTTACAGTCTAAAGTTCAGGTCAGGATGCAAATCCAGATCAAAGAGACTTTGAGGCCTTTCTCTAATACTCACTGTGTACATTGGGAGAGAGCCCAGTGCCTTTTAAGGCTGCTGGTTCAGCCTCTTCCCTGTTTAAAGGGCAGCGGGAGCAGGGCTGAGAGATAAATCCGGGATCATACCCAAGTGCTCCCTAGGTTATTTGTGAAGGGCTCCCACCAACATGCAATCAAGGTGCTCTCTTAAAAAAAAAGAATAGATCATGCATATTCCCTCTGTGTGGATAATCTCCCACAGAATAGAGAAAATTCACTCTGTGAAAGCATGAAAGAGTTGAGATCCAGCTTCTAAAAGTTCCTCAAGTTCCTCTCCCATGGTCAATGCCCTTCTAAACAGCAGACCATTTTGCAGGTATGCTCTAATATTGATGCCAAGTCAAGAACTTGGTCTTAAGAGCTAAAATCCATTGTATTCAGACAAGACGTACTGCAGCTGCTCATAAAATTAAAGTTAGGCGAAGCCTTGTCACAGGAGCAGTGACAGCAACTGTGGAATTTTAAAAGGTCTTGCTACTCAGACAAAACTATAACAGATGAGGCTGTTCTAATAAATTCCTTGCACAGCCAATAATGTCCTGCACTTCTGTCACTGAGTGTTTAAGTCACTTATTGCAGATCACTATATAAAAAGAAAAAAAGCCAAATATTTTACTTGCCTGAACTGTTCCCGGGGCTAACATCATGGGGGTTCCAACTGAATGAAAGTGCTCATAAGTCCAACTGGACTACATTTCTAAATCACCCCTTATCTTCCAGACCCAAGGTTATATTCAGAATCCTTATCAGATTCTCCCATCCTCCTTCTGGATGGGATTGATGGTACTGATCAGGTTCCACTCTGTTGGATTGACTGTGCTGCTATGCAATACTGCCATGTGAAAATCAGGTCAAGTACCTCATTAGAGCTTCCACACTAAGTTTTCCTGCCAAATTATGTGCAACACTGTTTGGGGGTTTAAAGCCACATGTGTGTTTTGGGTTAAAAACATCTGGTTTTGGGTTTAAAGCCACATCTGTGTCACTGCAAATTGAGCTAAATTGGAGAGAAAGTGTGCCTTAATAGCCTGTTGATAGTGGGTGCAAGCAACACTTGTTCAAGCTCAGAAGCTGATGTAGGATCATTGACAAATCACTGAGAAGCCAAGCAGCAGCCATGGTACAGGCACTGAGCAGCTGTTAACCCCTTCCTTTCAGCTGTGCTATGTGTGAAGGGCATCTCCTGCTGCACAGCCTCTGGGATGTGCTCCAGAAAGCAGAGGAGGAGCTTCTGGTAAGGATGGAATATGCAGGTCTCAAACAATAACTAGTTCTGGATAAAGCTATCAGAAGCACTGCTTCCAGCCAGAAGAGGCCTCAGTTTGGTCCCCAAGGTGGCAGTCAGAAAGCAATGGCCCTGCAGTCCCCTGAGGGTTTGCCAGGGCGTCACTGAAAGGCCCTTTTGTGACGTTTGACCAGCCCAGGCAGTATCACTGGCACAGAGCAGGAGCTGAAATTCTGATTGGTGCTGACTGAACAAGAATGACTGAAGGATTTCATGGAAAATTCACAGGCAGGCAGTTGTAACTGCATGGACATTTCAAATGTAGAAGAGCAGTGGACAGCAATCAATCCTGGCTCCAACGCAAGTGAGATTTCCAGCTGTGTCTATATAGATTGTGCTCTGCACCAGCCTGGCGGATGTGAGAGATGCTGTTGCACAATCTGTGACCCTGAACAGCTCCCCATTACCATATTCTCCTTGCTGAAGGTTTAACCCTCTGCAAGAGCAGTTGAGCTCTGTGCATCAGGGCGAGACATATTTGTTCATGCTCCCTGGGCGGAATTAGAAAGATTACGTGGCTTATCTCACCAACTACAACCAACCACCACAGCACAAGTAGTAGCAAACACTGAGCATTCAAGAGCACACTGTGGGCCAATAACTTTGAAAAGTTAAACACATTAATTTACCATACTTCACCACCACACAGGAGGAAATAGTCAGGAGGAAACATTCTACAGCCCACCTAGAAGGCAGGTTTCTTAACTCTTCCTTGCAAATTCTCACATTTAGCAGTCATCCCCATTAGTTACAATTTTGAGAGAGAGTGAGTCCACATTCCACAGACAACAGTTTCTATTCTCCACTCTCACCTAAAGGTGAGATTTGATTTTGATTATTAACTTGCTTGAACTACATTAGCTGGGAGAATGTGAGCTTTGCATGCTTGTAGCACTTACACTGCAGTTTCATTTGGGAGCTTTGTGTGTTTGTAGCTAGAGGATTCAAACTCTTTAATGTGTATTTGCACTCCTATCAGCTGAGTATCAGTTCAGCCTCCCAGAGGAGAAGGAACATCTGTATTAAGGCTCAGTATCAGCATTTCACCTTCCTGATTGCACCACCTCCAGTAAATCTATCTTCATCTCATGAGTCTCTTCAGCAGAGAAGCCCTGTGAGGACACCACGCTCGGCACGGCTGTGGGTGGCAGGGTCCCACTCTCAGCAGATAATTCCTTCATATCAGATATCTAGTTACCTTAGCAGTTTAAAAAGGCTCCTGAAGTTGAATGGCTCATTCCTCTCCCAGTGAAAGCTCATTTATACACAGCCCTCAGCTGTGTCCCCTCATGGAGCCAGGCCTTTCATCCCTGCTACATTTTTGTCCAGCCCAGGAGGATTTCTGAATTGTTTGTGTTCTCACCCAGTGAAGGACTGAAGTGATCAGGGCACACCAGGGAGTCCACTACCACATTAGTAACTCTGAATATTCAGCTTCATTAAGGCTGGGCCACTTATGACTTAATGATATGAAGTAGTACACATGATTATAAAGTGATAAATATTTGGGGAAAAATGTAACTGGAACCTTTCAATTGATCATTACTTATTCTTTCTGCAAAATTCTACTTTAGCACAATTTATATATAGGTTCACAGCATCAAACTGGTCAGGCTCCAATTTGTTTTAATCTAAAACCGTATCAAGAGAGATAGTCCACAGTGGGAGTATTTACACTACTATTGTCACTGTTTCTTTTCCCTAGATAAATTGCAGACAAAAAACCCCAACCCAGCAAATTATTATTTTTTTTAATTCTATGGATTATTTTTAGAAATTTTGAAGGAGTTATCCTAAAAAGACCCTTTTCTGAATTTCCTGGCTCAAAATTTGATAAATTCATTTTTAGTTTGGTTAAGGATGATTAAATGATTCACTGTTTTAAAAAGAAAAGCAAAAATTTCACAAGAGCATAAAGAACTTTCTCTCAAGCCACAATATATAATTTCTTATAATTACATCAAATGTTAGTTTAAATTAATTGAGTATAATAGGTATCTCAGCTGAGCACTTTACAAAGATGACAGTATGGTTTATGAACTATCCACATGCACAAATTAAAATATATCTTTTTAAAGCCTATTAACACCACTACTCTGAACAGTGTTTCTGTTCCTTCCTCTTCTCCAGGAAAGCTCTGCTAGGCATCCTTCCCTTTCTCAGCCTCTCCCCACTGTTCCCCCCACCTTCTCCCTGATTTTTGAACCATCCTGGCAGTGGGGACCATTTCTGCAAACTGCAGATGCAGCTTCCTCTGCCGAGCTGGGCAGCCCCAGACATCACCAACGCTGCCCACGGGCTTCAGCTCAGGGCCTGATTACTGGGGATTGGCATCCAAGAGATGTCCCATGAAACCTGACAAATGGTGCCTTGAGTTTTCAGCAAGAGACTGTACCTGAGTCATTTGTGATGTTTGTATTGCCACTTCTGGATTTCACTTGGATTTTTCAGGACTGTCCTAGCTAACACTTTTTGTCTGTCACACAGGTTTTTTTTCCTTTCTGACTTTCAGCTTGAGGCCTTCTTGGTTGTTCACAACACCATGAGGTGTTTTGCATAAGGAAAAAAATTAAATCCATAAAAGATGACAAACCAGTCTTAATTTATTTTCTGTGGACAGTGTTTTTAGACTTGGATTCTACATCTAATCTCAAAGAAATCTGTGTTTGATTGGCTAAATTGAAATATGATATCTTACATGAATACTTACAAGTATCCCTCTCTTCACTGGGAGTAACAGATACATCTGACAATGGATTTTGCCATCCAACTTTAGGAGCTTTAGGAGAATTTTGGTCCTAATGTTTGCTGCAACCTTAGATGTGGGTCCAATCCACCCAGCAGTGTCCCTTTAAAGAGGAGCTTCCCCACAGCTGCATTCTCTGATTCTGAGATGTTTTAGGATGCTTTTCATATACTACAGTTTCTGAAGGTCAGTGCATACACATCTTAAGACACAGTGATTAGACAGTGTATGGAACTACTTGGCAGTATTTAGCTGGTACAGTTTCTTGTGGAAACAACAGAATTCCAAAATACACCACACTGAATGCTTATGGGTTATTACAAGCAAAAATCCCAAGACACCGGGAATTAAAAAGCGGAGTTCAACAAAGGAACACTGATATCGTCGGTTGATATGAACAAAGGTGTGCCAAGTCTTCCTTCTCTGCTTTTTCAAGTGGAGAAATAAACTGGGAAATGAAGCAGAAGGAAAGAAAGATTAAAAAAAGGACAAAACCCAGGAGTTATTACAGAGTTACTCTTGTGCTTTATCTTACAGCAGTGAAGGGAGGCTGCAGACAGGTGGGGTCGGTCTCTCCCACCGGGCAGCACTGACAGAACCAGAGGACACAGTCTCAAGCTATGTCAGGGAAGGTATAGGTTGGATATTAGGAAAAAAATTTTCACTGAAAGAATAATAAAGTACTGGAACTGTCTTCCCAGGGAGGTGGTGGAATCACCATCTCTGGATGTGTTTAAAAAAAGACTGGACATGGTGCTGTAGTCTAGTTGAGGTGTTAAGGCATAGGTTGGACTTGATGATCTTATAGGTCTCTTCCAACCTCATTATTCTGTGATTCTGTGTGGGGTCAGAGGATTGCAAACATCTTTAGCACCTCTTAGCTGAAGGAGCGTGACGTGTCTGGCATGCAGTATTTCTTCCACAGGAATGCTCCTCCTGTGTCCAAGGGAATTTGGAGGGGAAACTGGAGTAGAAAGCAGGGGAGACTGTGGCTTAAAAAGCAGAAAGGGCAAGGGCTGAAGTGATGCCAGCTGCTGTCCCCAGCCCCAGCAAAGCCACGTGCTGTTCTGCACCCTCCTGCAGGCAGCTCGGGCCGTTCAGCGCCACGGCTGCTGCGAGGAATGGCTCAGTTTGTCTGACCTACAGCCACCCCCATGGAGAGCACAGCCTTGTTCCCACTCAAATCACACTGGAAAAGCCATGCAGGCCTTGTCCAACAGCACGTGGATGCTTGATGTCTATACGATTTAAACATATACTTTAGAGCTATTGTAAATAAACACAGCATTGAGTTAAATACACAAGGTCCTTCCTTAAGCTGCAACCTTTAGGCACTTATCACAGAGGAATCCATTTGAAAAATAATTTGAACAACAGCTACACTCAAATCTCACTGACCTGATCTCCCTGTGGTGAGCCACGGCCTGGGTTGAACAATAGGACACTCAAGTCTATGATTAAATACCCTAAACTCAACCTAACCCATATCGAGTCTGCACTGTCTTTTTTTTTGGGGTGTTTTTTTTTTGTTTGTTTTGTTTTGTTTTCTTTTTTTTTTCTTTTTTTAACTTAACAGGACAGGCGTCCAACATTTTAAACCAGAAGTGAAGCAATAATCTTACTTAGATATGTTTCAACCTAAACTTCCATGGAGGAGATGTGAGCTATCTTGACCACTTTTTACTTTCTTGTTAAGACTCAGATAATGCTCAATGAGGAATATATACCCAGCAGTTAGTTCAATGGCTGCACATCTTTTGTCTGGTTGCTGCACAATTGAGTACCCAGTTAATATGGTTAATTAATATCTAACCATTTCCCATTCTTGCTGCATCAGTGTTACGAAACCCTGGAATTATTCTGGGTCACTCTGGTGCCAGCACTCATAAGGCTAATAAACTGTCACATGTATCTCATTCCTTTTAGTCATGTTTACAGGTGATCCTGTAAGCTTTCTTTACAGGAACAACAGAGGAAAATGGAAACATCCTGAGTATCAGGCATGTAACTTGAGAGCTGGGAATTAACTCACATCCATAGTCTGGCCTTCTGGTGAATCTCTTCTGGGTTACTACCTGCATTGTGTATCTGAAGAAATCTCCCTTTTAGGAGTTAATGCCATATTACAGTTATGTCACCTAACAGCTGTTGCTAACACAGGGTTACATAAATGAAATGTTCAGTTCCTGTCATTACAAGGCCCCTGAGTCCCAAGCAGTATGACTAATGTTATTCATTCATAGCTAACTTCCCCACAACAACTGTGTAGATCGAGATGATCTTTTGAGAAAAGAAGTCAGTGAGACTTTGGGCCATCTTTAACAACATTTGGGCATTCAAGGTGCACAAGGATCTTTGGAAACACTGACATCTCAAATTCTAGCTGATATGGCAGACACCAGGCACCTACACGCTTCTAAAAAATTCACCAGATGCTTGTTTGCCTGTGTGCCTTCACCCTCTTTTTATAGGCATGAGGTATTTCAAGAATTACTGTTCTTAGTAGAAAACACCAGGACAGTGATAGTCATCATAATGAAAGGAAGATCTCTGAGACTGCATTTATTTAAAACATAAAAATGGAGAGCTTTTAATCCTAGGGAAAGTTATGTAACATGCTAATGTAAAAAACATTAAATGTCAACAAATTCTGCTAATATGTGTTCAGGGAGTTTGCAGTAATTCTCACTATGAAAGCATAACACTAGAAGGGAAATTTCACAAATTAATCAGTTTAAATATTTTATATCCATTTTTTCATTGTTTTGTTTTTTAATGTATCAGCCATTCTTAAGTCACAAACTATTGAGATCAAAAATAAAAGTGAAAATGAATTACTCACTTATAATTATAATGAGAATGACTGCGCATACTACACCGAGGATGATCATCATCTATAAAAAGAAAGTTATAAGAAAGAAAAAGAGAAAGTCAGGTTTTCAGATGAAAGACATTAACCCCTCTATTATTTTTTTTTATTTTACTTAGTGACTCACTCCTTGTACTTTTAACTCTTGTAAAGACTAACTGCAACACACTTGCTAAGGCCCCATACTTAGTGTTGGTTTTAAAATTGACAATGGACAGAGCCTCTTGTCAAAGCTGGCCAGTTTGTCAGGTAAAGATGCTGTGACCAACCTCAACCATTCCCAGGCAGCAAAGAAAAACTCAATTTCCAAAGTAAAACAGCTCCCAGTGGCTGGGTTCACACTTGACACAGAATCACCTCATCCCTTCTTGCCACGCTGCTGAGTCAGTGAAGAGGCAGCTGGAGCTGCCCAGAGCCATTTGTGCTGCTGCTGGTGAGACAGGGAGCTCATGCTAGCCAGGACAGCTCCAGCAGGTTCTCCTGGAAACAGCTGAGTGCAAAGCAGGAGCCTTCTCCCCCAGGAGCAGGAGAGAAGCTGTGCAGCTGTGCAGAGCCCACAGCAGCAGGGAGCTGCCTCAGAGCTCCCCTGAGACTCCCTGGAAGCTGATGAGCCCTCCAAGGATGCTGCAGTCCAGTTGCCATTATTGCCCCAGTGAGCAGAAAGAATGAAAAACAGCAAATGTGGGCACGTTGAATCAAGGCTTTCATTCCTCCTAACATGAGGACAGAGCCAGCCATTGGCTTGCAGCAGATTCTTTTTAAATTTCTTCCCTCTCTTTCCAGAGTTTGGGAGGCAGAAGAAGGACGGGGAATTGTTTGTCAGGAGAAAGCAGGAAGGGACACTGAGGAAAGGAGAATGAGGGCAGGTTTGAAGGTCTAGTGTAGTGCAGGTCACTGCGGTGACTGCAGTCACATGAGTGAACCTAACTCAAAATCTGTGCCTGTAGCTCCCAAAAGCCCTGCTTCCTGCACTTCTAGACATAACAGTTAAAAGACATACCAGCTAAAAAAGGCCCAGAGGACCTGCTTTGTTGAATTTCTAACGTAGATCCTTTTATTTCTGGAGTGTTTTTACATGTAGTTTACCCAGAATATTTTGGTTTGCTTTACATTTCATAGCACTGTGGATTGAAGAGACAAAGCAGACAACAGGCAAGTGAGGGATGCATGTGGGATTCTCCCTTGGGAACAGCTGGTTTTATTTGGGTGGACATAAGTAGTCAGCAGGAACGTTGGTATTGAGAAATGGAAAGGAAGCTGAACTTTTGGCACAGTGTTCATGGTGCATGAGTAGGAAGAAGCAAAGACAAGAGTCTTAGAAGAGTAAGAGGAGACGAAGTTTCTGGGTCCAAAATCCACAAGTGCCGGAGAAGGTCTGAAAAGGCAAAGGACAGTGAGGCTCCCTCTGCTCTGGGGAAAGGATTAGACTTTGGAGACAGCAGAGGAGGGAGCTGGTTGACCAAAGCCCTGCTCTATCCTAACCAGCCCCTCTTCGTAAGAGACTGTCATTTTCTCCCTTCTCGCAGAAGTTTGTGGAACCCAGTTTTGGGCATTCTTTATGGTTTAACATCCTGAAAAAAAGTCAAATCGATGATCCCCACAAGGAAAAAACTTCTTTTCTCCCACTGTTAGAATTCACTGCACCTGATCAGGTTTTGTGGTTCCCACAGAGAACTGAAACAAATTGACGTGGAATGCTTTCCCATTCCTATTTGAAGGCACTGGGGATGCATCAAAAATTGTGTCGACATTTTATAAACTGCAGAAATTATGGGTTCTGGTAAAGATCAAAGTTGCTTGACTTCTGGAGCCTCGAGGTCAAGGCACCTCTTTTCACCTTGACGAGAAGAGATGACTCAGAGGTGCCATCCTGCAGGCAAAGTCCCACTAAATGCAAGAGAAAGCAATTTCTGCCATGAAGTGATTCCGAACAAGGATTTATATTCCTTACCTTGCAATTTTTCCACCAGTATTTCCTCTTCAGTTTGGCTGCACTAGTCTCAAACTGTGAGGCACCTGCTTGCAATGCATCTGCCCGGTTGTCGAGCTCCGACAGCTTCTGGTCCCTTTCCAGCACCTTGTCCACGTTCATCCTCATGATGTCCACCACCTGTGAGGCACAGACACACCTGAGATTCCTCCCACAGGAAAGCTGAGGGGCGCCCATCTGGTCACACCCTGGAATGTCACACCTCATCCTAAACCCAGCTGTGGGAAATGGAAAACCAGAAACTTCCACAGACACCAGAGGGTTTGCTTTGCAGCCTTGGGAGACGCTTGGACTGATGTAAAAATAAAGTACACAGACATTAAGCAGAAAAACCATAAACTTATGTTTCCATAGTGGTAAGTAAGAATATGACTTTAGATAGTGAGAAACTGTATTGATAAGACGGTGAAGAGTTTATAATGTAGGAGTGTAATTGGACAGAGAGCTGAGAGTTTCGATGTTATAATAGAAGCATTTGTGTATATGTGAGATAGGAGCCCATTGGATAAAAATACCCACAGTGCAGCAAAATTAAGTAAAAGTGATAGGTTAGAAAAGCAAAATAAACCCTGTGGCAACTGTCCATTGGATCAGAAAGTTGTATATTGCCTTGTAACGAAGAACTTGTGACCACTTTGAGCTATGGCCAACTGCTTGCTCCCCTGAAATCTCACAGCCCCTGAGACTGATATTTATCTGGGCAATAAATCATTCTTAGCCCCACAATAGTCTAAAAGCAGCAACAATGGTACCCAGCCTTTTGCCATATGGTGTGAGATGGCATCCCCTGGGCACTGCCTCAAAACCCCAGCCTGCGAAACACCCTCGGTGAGCTACACTGTGCTGGATGCCCTTTGAGGGAGAAAACAGAGACATCACGAAACACCACAGTTGGTTTCATTAAAGTTTTTTACTTCTTTTATACAAAGACCCAATGAAGATCTCTACAGCACAGTTTGACTGACATCACTAAGAACAAGCCATTATTTTCCTCGCACATTTCATACCTTCCTTACCTGAAGCAGAGAAACCAGACAGATAAAGGCCACTCTAAAGGGAACTGTATGCATTTCCTTACCAAACAATTTTCCCATTCTGCAGATCTTTTGGGCAAGATGACTTCTCAGCCATGATTTGAAGTCCTGCTTGGAAGTGGAGGAGGAGAATGTTTTACCTGAGCAAATTCAGCCCAAAGAACAGCAGAGAGCTCAGGGTCATTGCACAGCCAGGATACAACAGGCAAGGGCTGTTTATACATTTATTTTATACATTGAGTAAGGTGAAAATTCTCTTCTAGCAAGCCAGTAACTAAATGGAAATCCTGTAGAAAGTCACCACTAATGCAAATGTCAGTGTCACAATCTCAGTAAAGTTGTGTCCAATTTTTCTAGCAGTGAATGAAGCTGATGGTCTGTTAATTCTCATACTCTGTAATAAGGAATTTCATGTTATACATATTTAATAAAATTTGACTATTACCTGCAAAAATCCAGAATTATTTAGAGGATACATCATTCAAATACAGTGAGAGGAAATTGGTAATGAAAGAATCTTTAACAGAACTGGCAAAAGGTCTCAAAAGATTTGTTTCACTTGTCTATCAAACCTAATCCAAACTTTCTTACTTGCTTTTCCAAACCAAAACCTTCTAAGCACTTAACTTCATATAAAACAATAATAATTTTTTTTAAGTATTGATTTCTCAGCTAGTATTTAGTTGAATTTTATCTTGGTACAATGATTTGTAGTGAAAATTATAAATTATTTGAAAATGCTGAAACAAAACACTCTACTATTTCCTACCCATTCTCTTAGTTTTTTTGGGGTTTGGTCGGGGTTTTTTCTTTGTTCGTTTGTGGATTTTTTTGTTTGTTTGTTTTTTGTTTGTTTGTTTTTTCATTGTTTTTTTTGTTGTTGTTGTTGTGGCTTTATTTTGGGGTTTAGTTGGGTTGTTTTGTTTTGGATTTTTTTATGTTGTTTTGTTTTGGGGGTTTTAGGTTTGGTTTTTTGTTTTGTTTGGTGGTTTCGCTTGTGGGTTTTTGATGAGTTTTGTTTGTTTGATTTTGTGTTTGGTGTTGTTTGTTTGTTTGCTTGTTTCCCCACAACTACTTACTGAATCTATGCTGGGTGCAGCGAGATTTGCCCAGGTGAGATTTCATTTTTGTGAAATACATAAAGAAAAGTTTGCCTGGGCCTTAGCGGATGAGCCGCAGGATGCGCGGAGGGGCAGGCGGAGCAGGAGCAGCGAGGCTCTGCTGCCACCGCCCGGCACGGCGGGAAAGGGATGGGAGAAGAGCAGCCCACTTGGTATTTAATAAGTGTCTTTATGGTACCGATGCCTGAGGATTTAGCTTTTCTGGTTTTCAGCTCCTGTACTGCATTAGCGCACGGCTCTCTGCTTCATTCTCTGCCAGCTGCTGCTCTGCCCCTTATTCACACACAGTTCCTCCCCAGGCATCAAACTCAAGGACACCCTGCAGCCTCAGGCTCCAAAAAGTACAGACAAAAGTGAATTGGGGGAGCAAAGTGGGGTAAATCACTTCATTAGCTGAAGCTGTAATTGGAGGATTAACCCCTGATATATAAATGGACCAAACTCACAATTGTCTGTAAAACTGGTGCCCATTGTCCACCTTGGGTGTAGCCTCTGGGAGGCTTCTGACTGCCCAAGGTGTGGCTATTGAAGGCCTCCAATAAATCCCCACTTTACTCTCTAAATCTCATCCAGCCTCTGTTCTAAGAGTCACCCCAAGGCATCAGTACAACAATTCATCAAGGTGCAATATGCTAAATATGGTGTGTGTGTGTGTACACACACAGTAAATTGTGTATATAAATTTACAGACATTGCAAATTAGCATATCTAATAAAGATGCCTCAGTGAGAGGCTTAAATGAATGGTGTGTTCTACCCCCTGAGATGGGCCCAATTTTAGTTTACAAGATATGTTTTAGAGAGGACCTTGGTATCTCGAGAGAGCATAAGGCTTTCCAGTCCCCAGCTGTAAGGCTTTTAAGACGTTTGGCCTTCTGGCCTACCAAAATACCATCACTATGTTAAAATATTAAGTTTTAAAAATTAAAAGTATGCATGTTAAGGGTATTGAGAATACATAAAAAGTAAATAAAAAGAAAAGTAAAAAAATCATCATGGCATCACACACTGGATCCCTTGGTGTTACAAACCAGTGTCACCCCAGCAACCTCACAGTGCTGGAAGTGCCAGTTTGCCTCCCTTGGCCATTCTTACATTGTGATTTCCCTGCTTAAAAGCACCTGCTGACCGTGTGCTATCAGCTCCAAACCTGTGAAAAATTCTTCACTGGAAGAGTGACTGGGCACTGGAATCATCTGCCAGGGAGGGGGTGGTGCCACCATCCCTGGAGGTGTTTAACAAAGCTTGGATGTGGCCCTGGGTGCCAGGGTTTGGTTGATGTGGATGTGTTAGGGCATGGGTTAGATGACCTTAAAGCTCTTTTCCAGCCTAGATCACTGTGTGATTCTCTATCAGCTGCAGCCTCTCTCTCAACTGGAAGGCAAAATCCCCACGAATCCTGGATTTCACCAACATAACCCTCAAATTCAAGAACTACGCATTGTGCCCCCATACTGGGCAAGAGTAACTGCCAAAAGTATTTAATCATCTCCACAAAAAGATGTATTTTCATGGGTCTGAGCGAATAGAGCCAGAATACAACACAAAGCAGGAGTTCACCACCCTCACTGATGCCATCTCTACTGATCTACTTGAAGAGCCCTATGTATCTGTTAGGCATCACTCATTTTAAGATAATAAAAAGCAATTTTTATCATCTTTTAGGGACCGTTACTTTTGCTGTCATTCATATAAACAATTACAGGACCTCCATGGTGTAGCATGTTCAGGACAAGAAATTTATTTCATTATTCTGAACAAAGATAAAAGTTAAAACGTAACATTCCTTTCCCCGCTGGAAGAGGAAATAAAGAGATAAAGAGAGAACCTAGTCTAGACATTTCTGCAGCCAGAGGATGTTGTAAACACATCTGAGCACCAACAGTGTGGAGACCAGAAAGTCACTGTTCCAGATGTTCAACAAAGAAAAGCTTCTCAAAAAGACAAAGCCCATTTTGACAGGTGTCTTTAACTCATCTTAAGAAATTCATTTGAGTTGGATATTTTGAGGTCTTCTCTACTATCTTTAAAGTGTGCCCGAAGCTTTGGAAAATAAAGGCCTTAGGGCATGTAAGTACGTATTTTCTAATGTGTGTTTTATCAAATTGGCATTTAAGGATCACACATGCTCTGTGCACTTCATCACAGACAGTAAGCAACGAGGTCCTTAGTCTTCGGAGGGGTTTAACAATATTCTTTCCTTAATACCCAGCACACTAATGCACACAGCAGGTGTGTAAGGGTGCCACAGCTGCCACTGTGCTCCTGGCACAGCCAGGGACCAGAGCAGCAGTGCTGGGCTCACTGCTCCCATTCCCAGAGAGCTGGAGGGACCCTGGCACCACAGCCACGACAACAGTTTAAGGATCCAAGCTGGAACAGGCACATGGTCCTCCAAGATCAAGAAAAGGAGTGGGGATTTGTGAGAGATGCTGTTATGCCATCATGTGTGGGTGCCTTTCTTTGGGAATAAATTGTGATGATTAATCAATTGAGCTCTTGCTAACGAGCCACCAGCTCAGTTCTGGTGGTTTTAATCTGTCTGGGAGAAGCTGATGGTCTTCTGTCTCTGTGAAGCAGCCTGAGAAATTAGCATCTCACCTTTAGGAGTGCAGGAACACACTTAAAAGAGCTGCTTCCACTATGACATTTACTCCTAACCAGACTGTCTGGGAGGAATTCCTGAACTGGCAGCAATGCCCACATTTAATCTGCAGAGCTGTTCCTGTGCAGGGATGTTTATATTCAGGATCTCTCTTTACTGTCTGCCTCCTGTGATAAATCTCATTTCCTGGGCCCACTGCCTTCAGGTGAGCAGGAGCTGCACAAGGGAGGGAGGAGCACAGCAGCTCCTTGTGCTGGAGCACTCACCTCGTCCACCTGGGCTTGTGTCTGCTGCAGCCTCTTGTTGCTGGACACGTTGGTGGCAGGAGGGGGCCCTGCAGCCCCTGCAGCCCCTGTGGCACCCTGGGCAGATGCTGGAACAGACCTAGGGCAAAACCAGAGAACCAAAGTGACCCAAACCATCTTTATTTGTTCATGACCCCTTTTCTGGAGCTGGTAAAAAGTACCTATTTCTTCAAAGAACTTTTGAAGTTTCAGAGTACCTTCTTTTTCTTCAAAGGACTTTTCAATTGTTTCAATCCCTGTTTTCCATTCCTGGATCACAGCCCTACTGCTCCATTCTGTTGGACAATACTATTTTCTGACCCAGAGATGGGGCAACTGAGAGGAATTTTAAACACTTTTATTCCATTTTCAGTCTCATGAGAAGGGTGAGACAATACAGATGTTATAATTCACACCATCACAATCAGAAGCCAACTATTTCCTAATTACAGGACACTATAAGCGTTTCTTGGCCTATCAGCTTTTGCCACACAATGCCATAAACGCCTTGAAGCTAATAATCTAAAATTATCCCTTGTGGGTCCTACTACAATGCATCTTTCATAGTTCTATTTCTCTAAAGCCTAGTCTTTTTTGTAAGGCCATCCTTTGAAACTTGTTTCTAGATCAATTTTTCTCTCAGCAATGTCTGTCCTATTCCATGGCATTGCTAAGTCAGAATTTCTTATCTCAAGGTTTGTATACAGAGGCATACTATGTGAGCCTTCTGTCAAGCTTTGCAAATTTTCTACAAATCCATTTCCCACACCGTTCCTTCTCATACCACAATCAGTTTTTACACTATTCCTTGATGGGACTTTATCAAACTCTTCCACCTCCCTCGCTGCTTTTTTAAATGGCAAACAACTCAGGTTATCTACCCTAAATTAGGCCAATGGCCAAACTGATCACAGGCCTGAGGAGCAGGGCAGAGCTTGTGTCCCCCGAAGGAAAGCCAGGCTGCTCTGGTACTCTGGGAATGCAGCAGGAGATGGGCTGTGCTGAGTAAGGCACTGCCCTGCTCCTCCTGTTTGCACTTCACCAAGCAAAGATAAACAGAGGGAAACAAACAGAAACAGGAGGAGATCGCATCCATCACAAACACGAGAGAGGAGAAGAAACAGAGGAGGAAGTGGGGGTGAGAATTGCACACAGCATGAAGTCAGTCATCTCTGGCACCAGCAAGGCTGACCCTCCCCAGTCCTGGTCCCTAAATGCTCACCAGAGCAGCTTCAGCATATCCCCAGCCCTGGATGAGTACTGGCATCACTGCTGTGAGCAGAGCCCTGACCCTCTGCACAGCAGCTCCTGACCTTCAACACCGCCTTCCTCCGGTCTGCTGATAACAAAGGACAAAACAAAGCGTCCTGAAAATCCAACAACAGGTCTGGGCTGTCTCAGAGTGTGAGTTTGTGCAGACAAATCACTCCAGCAGCCTGAGCAGGGTCCCTGAGCCTCAGCCAGTCATCCCTCACACCCACACTCTACCCTGTGAAACCTCCCCTCTTCTTCCAAGGGACCCCTTCACTGCTCCCCACGGGGAAATAAAACCTTTCCTGAAGCTGCAGAGGAAATCCCTGAGCATGTGAACTGAAAAATATCACAAATCCCACTCATGCATTACCAATGCCTTCCCACAGTGACAGACTGAGAGAACACTGTGTTTCTCTGTGAATCATTCCCTTCTACATCCCGGGCTCTGATTAATGCTGCTGGAGTTACAGCCTCATTAATACACTGTCAAAACGCCTGGGGCACTGAAGTTAGCTCCCCAAAGGTGCCTTCAGCTGCAAAATTCAGTGTGACAGTATTGCCTGGGGGCTGAGATCCCTGTGGACAGCACTGACCCCCAGAAGCTGCCAGAGATGGAGCAGCTGTTGGCAGCACTGCTGTGGCTCTCACTGCACTCTTTACCTGGGCTGGGAGTGTCATTAGCAAGCTGGAGCTGAAACTGCAGAAACTGAACCATCCTACCTGCTCATCCCTGAGGACCTCACGGCCACTACTAAAAACATGAAAAGCAGAGGCTGCTGCCACCTGCCAGGGAAGCACTCCATCGATGGCCACAGGCCAGCATCCCAACAGGATTTATTCTGAGTTGTCGCAAAGGGACCATAATGTACATCACACACTACACAAAACAAGATCTCCCTGGAGCAGCAACAGCCTCAAAGGGAGATCCTGGTACAACAACAGAGCTAAAATTAAAATTGTAAAACTTCTTTGCAGTTAAGGAAGTAAATAGGCATTTTCCCAATCAACACAAGCAGATTTTTGTCTGTGGAAACACTGTGTCACTACTACAAACATCAAGAGAGCTCCTATCTTGAGTTATGCGCTGTTGGAATCCCAGAGACTACAGAAGAGGAGTAGGTGAGAAGAGTTTTTCCCTGCCACATGTTTTGCTCTGAGCAGAGCTTATAAATTCAGTGATGCTCTTGGTCAGAGCTACGAGATAACTCCAAATTTGGAGCTCTGCCATGCACCTTTTCTGCCTAGTAATTCTCATCTTTTTTTTTTTTTTTTTTGCAGCTCCCAAGCTGTCCTTAAAATGACTTGACATACAGTAGACACTTTCAAGGTTGTTCTCTTCCAGCATTCTTGTTGCCATCTAATTTGGTTTCAGCTGCATTTTCTGGGGCTTCTCTGCTCCCTGCACAGGGCAGGAGATGATGGGAAGGACGGGTGTTTTTCCAGTTGCCCTGACCATCCAGCAGGAGCTACTGCAACCACCAAAGAGAGGTGACAATCTTCATGCTAAGGCACAGCAAGCTCGTAATTAACATACCCGTCTTAATTAATTACCTAAAATCTAATCCAAGCTTTCTGGTAAAAAAGGGAGCTGAAGGTCTGCATCACTTGAAAGCACATTCTCTGTGATATCATAGAGCAAAAATTCTGGAATTAAAGTCCAGCTTACATTTACATAATTCGTCCTGCATTTACATAATTCTTCTGTTATTGCCTCTCTACCGTGTCATATCAGCTTATAATTTCTCAGAAGTGTTATTCACAGAAATTTATGCAAAAATATTAGCACTATGTTGTAGAAGCTTCCTTTTGAAATATCATGAAGCATCACGACTTTAAAGTACAAAATCTCATGGTCTGGCATGATTGTTGGGGAGCTACAAAGAATGTAAAATCCATATGAAAGCTCCATCACTAGGCCCCTAGCCATCAGACTTGTGTGCATTTTTTTAGGGAAAGATAAAAAAAATTACTATTGGTGCTGAGAACTGCCATTCCCAAGAACAAGTCGAATTAATTCTGAAAGAGGAATTAAATTCTGTTATTGTTGGTGAAAAATACTCTTACATGGCAAGCACTCTGAGACACCAGAGCACCAGCAGATTCGGATCAGTCAGAGAAGCAGCCACCAGCCTGGAAGCACTGCAGGCTCTGTCTTGCAGCCACCTTGGAAGAAACGTTCAGGGACTTTCTGAGTGATTCAGCAAAACGGTCTCAGCTGACTCAGACGTCCTCAGCTCTTCCAGTTGGGCCTGAAACTGGTAGGTCAAAGTCATGACTACGAGATTTGTCATCTCGCTGAGATGTTTTGGAAGCAGCTTGCTGTTTAGATCTGACAGTTAAAGGCAGCTGCAGCTCTTAATTAAAAGAGAATTGGAGATATCCAGTGTCACTGTTTTGCATTTCAGCACTGGCTGAAAAAGCATTAAGGATGATTGTTCATCTCATATTTTGGGAAACCATCTGACACACACTTTCATTTTTGTTCATATCTGTGAGCTACATAGCAGAATTTTTTCACTTAGTCAGGCTAAAGAAGGGAGAGACAAATACCAGGAGGATGCCAAGGCACCACTGTGCCTTGGTACAGTTCACATGAGGACCTCCAAGGCTGCTTTCAGCATCTTCTTTTATCCATCCAAAGTGCTTTTTAAAGCCTCCAACGACAAACCTAATCCCTGCAAAGTCCTTATCCTAATGACACTGCACGGAGCTAAGGAAAAGCTGTTATCCCTACATCTGGCTGGAAACAGGTACAGGGGGATGAAGGGACTTCTCCATGGCACAGAAGGGCTGGGGCAGAGCAGCCCAGCCCTCTTCACTTCACCTCTCCAACTCTGACCCAAGTCAGAGCTCACAACCTGTTTCTAGCAGCAGGAGTTATTTTCTGTGTAGACAGTGAGAAACACAACTGAAGCTGACAGCACATGGGAAGTGAGAATCCCATCAGAGCTTTAGGGGGTGTCAGCTGGCAGAGCTCAGAGGAGGGGCAGTGAGGGTGCATCAGCACAGCAGATCTGATTCACCATCCCTACCAAGAACGAAAAAAAGCAGGTAATTTTTTTAGAACCCCAGTCTGAGTCCTCTTTCCTCAAATCCTTTCTCTGTTGTTCAAATAAAACAATTGCACTGCCTCTCTTCCCCTTTTTTTTTACTGTTCAGGTATCATATATATGTAGTACATATTTACTGTTGTAACTTACACATATTTATGACACTTTTTCCACATGAACCCTTTCACAAGGCACCCATTCCTTTGGGCTTCACTGTGGAAGTAGAGTCTGACAGTCTGTGGTTTCAAAGGCATTTGAAAAACACACCACAAACACCTCTTTGTTTAACTATAAAATAAATCAGAAGACTACCACAGCTTTGTACTCTTGAGATTTAACTCTAAGACAATTATCAAAATTGGCTACAAATGCAAATTTATACACTATTTTAGTGCACGTCAGTGAAAATTCTGTCCCAAGGAGCAGCTGCAGAAACAGACCCATCTCCCATTGTCCCTGGTGCAGGGAAGGTTCATCTGGGAACTGGGATGCACTGGGAAGCTCTGAGGCACGAGAGTCTCTGAGGAAATAAAGGAGCTCTGTAGCCCTGGGGGTTTGCTGTTAGTTTTGGACTTGCTTTATTTCTTCCTATGCAGTAACAGCTAAACCAATTTTCCCACTGATAGTTTGCAGGATAGTTTGTACTGACTGTGCTTGGAGATTTCTGCATCCTGGAGGAATTTGCAGGTTTCCAGCTTTGTGTTAATCAGGTGCTACCCCATGGGGTTTTATTTCTGCACGAGGTCGGTTCAGCCAAGCCTAGCTAAAAAAGCTTTCTTACCAATCAGCGTGGACA